TCCTCTCCTCTCCTCTCCTCTCCTCTCCTCTCCTCTCCTCTCCTCTTGCCTCCTCTCTTCTCATCTTATCTGATGCGTGCATGGATAGAGGAGAGGAAACTTTGGCTACAAGGGAAAAGGGCTGCCGAATGTTTTGAGCAGGGCGCTAGGTACCAACATGGGCCCAAGGGTAGACTGAAGATGTGAAACCCACCACGCTGGGCAGGTTGGTGGCAAACGGGGCACCAGTGATGCCTGCACAACCCRGCTGCTCATGGACATCCTGGGACAACAGCGGGACAGGCACAGACAGCCTATGTCTGCTGGCCCTGGAGCACGGAGATCCCAATCCCATCCCTTTAGGGATGTTCCTGGTGCCCTTTAGGGCCGGTGGGGACCTTCCTGCTGCTGCTGGAGCAGCCTCCTTGCCCTGGTTTCCCACAAGCAGGACATCCCTGTCCTTACATGGCTAGGAGCTGCTTCAGCAACACCTCTGCATCTGAAATCAGCCCTGCTTAGCGGAAACAGTGGCCTTTAAATGGCTTGCAAGGAGCGCGGGGAAGCCCTTTGGGAAGTGACTTCTTGTCCAGAGCCACCAGCCCCACCACAGATGGGGCCTGCAGAGTTTCTGCTCAAGTTGGAACAGTGGCAAGCTGCTCCTTGGTGAATAAATAGAGGCTACATCCCAAAGCAGAACAAAACAAAACAAAACTTCCGGACTTTGGTCAGAAAGCAGCTATTTTGCCAGCTTTGCTCCCATGGGAGTTTAACCGAGCAGAGGGATTTGTGCAGGCTCTTAGCCGTCTTGCTGGAGCTGTTGGCTTAACTCAGCCCTCCTAACACAAACCTTGGGCTGGGGCAGATTTTGCGGGCTCCCAGGAACCTTCTGGTGTGGCCTGCAGCCTAGCAGAGATGGGGCTGCCCCTATGGATCAGGATGCCTCTCCCCTTCTTCCCACTGTCCTAGAGATCCTGGGTCTCCTTGGGCTTCACACACTTCTCCAGTGAGCAAGGTGTTCAATYGCCTCCTGTTTATGGGATTTTCTTTCAAAAGGAGCATCCTTCTTCACCATTCCTAACCCAAACCTAGAAGGCGCGCAAGCAGGAACCTAAGGTTGCCCCATGATGATATTCTCTATCTTCTGGGCATCATTAAATGAAAAAAAAAATACATTTAAAAAATACTATTCATCTTCAGGGCATAGGAAGTCATTGCTATTAACATGCAAGTGAAAGACCTGAGAGCCACATATCCCTGCTCCCCTCCAAAGCCCATTCCCCATCACAGAACACAGACGCCTTCACCCTCCTGCTCCATGCCTGTTCAAATAGGCCAAACGTTTTGCTATCAATGCGCTCTGTATATTTTCTTAAATAAATAGGGTATAAACACTTCCAACAATGTACCCTTAACATAGGTTTATTTAGCAAACAAGAAAAAAAACGGTGCGTCTGCCTCTCCTCTTGGTTGCAGCTACAGGCGAGTGTTTGCTTTGAAATGGAAAAACAAGGAAGAGGCTACGGGATGAAGATCCCAGGGCTCTTCATCTTGCCCCCGGGCAGCAGCTCCTGCTGTCCTCCCCCTGGTCCTCCCCGGGCTTGGGATGGGGTAGGATTCTGTGCGCTCTCCTCTCACACCATTGGCAGGACATCAATAATCYGCAGTTATTTGGGAAAACAACGCCTGGCTGGTGGGAAAGCAGGACGTGGCGAGGGGAAACGCTCCCACCTGCCTGTGCTGCCGGGGTCTCTGCTCGTGCGCCGGGACTCGGCAGCGCCTGTGCTTGTCCCTGGTCTAACGCCCAGGAACCCAGTCCTGGCTTTGGGTCTGCAGAGAGATCTGCGCCACGTTCAGCAAGGCAGGACTGCCTGAATTTAAGGAAAAAATCGCCCCTGAGAGCAGCATGTTGCATTTCCAGGTGATTCTTATATTCTTATGCATTTGATTGTTATATTGTCAGTTCTTGTACTGTCAAACACACTGAGGGTTTGCAGTGGACCGATGCCTCGCTGTGTCAAGCTTCCTCCTGCAGGCCCTTTACGAGCACTCCAAGAGGAGCCAACAGCACAAATTAAACCCAAATTGCATATAAGGGCCAATGGACTCTATGTGATAGAGTCATTAGCTTTTTTCCTTCCTCCTCTATTTATTGGCAAGCTTTACTTCCTTTCTTTGCTTTCCTACAGAAGCAGACCTAATTTGTCATTTGGTAGCTAAATATTGCCTATGTTCCTAGGATAGTGGCAGAATCAGATGTTTTGAGGCTTTATGGGGGTCTCCCCTGCAGGAAAGAGCCTCTGAACAAGCCAAAATTGCAGAAATCAAATCGCTGCTTGGTCAGAAAACCCATCCGGGATTAGCTTGATAGTCCTACAGACCCCTGTTTGGGAAGGACCAAGGCCACGTTGCCAAAGGAGTTCCCCGATGAGCTTGCAAATGCTGTTGTGTTTAGAAATTTCTTCTTAAGGTCTTTTTAAGGGTTCTTAAGCTGTCATGTTTTTAAAATACCTATTATGGGACTACAGTTCCCATCCAGCTCCTTTGGAACAAGGCTAACGTTTGGTGACCTGCACCCCCCAGGAAACACAGGGATGATTGAACTAGGAGGTTGAATTCTGGTTGCCCAGAATATTTCTTTGAGATGTTCCCCAGGAAAAGTAAGGTGAAGAAAAAAGTTAGCAATACTGACATTTTCCTGGAAAAAAACCCGTCACTTTGCAGAAACCACAGTCTGTGCTGGAAGAGAGACGGCAGGAAAATTCCTGAGCACATCTAGCAGGATGCAGCAAACGCTCCCTAATGCCGCGCTGCGCGCTGGCTCCTAATGGSCTGTCAATGTTTCCATCTGAAAACCTTTCGGAAGGGTTTTATAACATGGCCATAAAAAATCATTTTGGAAGCAAATGGAAGTGCAATGCCGCAGGCTGTTTATTTTATTAAATATGCATTTGGATCATTATTTGGTCATTTTTAACATCATAGGTGGTATAAAAATGTGCGTATCCATTAGAATCTGTATCTTTGTGGTTTTASGAAGGCTTCGTATAAAAATTACATTTTGTTAATTTGCTAGTTCTGAAAGTCCCCTTGCTCTTCAACCCAACAGGACTTTTTTTTGCTAATAAATAATTTTTTTTTTTTTTTGCTAAGAAAGGATATTTCTTCTCCAAATATTTGTTCAAAGCCCCAGGGGCAGGGAGTGGATGGTGCTGCTGGGCCAGCCCAGGGACTGAGCATCYAGAACAGCCCCGTTGCTTCCAGGGCCGCTGGCAGCATTTGGGGGAAGATAACCTCCTAAAACATTAACTACCATCCATTTGCTAAGAAGCGGAGTAACTAATTAAACTTTTATTTATTCTCTGGCTCTCAGAGCCACCCAAGAGCAGGCATTCTCTCTCCAATGAGTCCTCAGGGTCTTTACTAGGTGCCATTAGCTGGAAGTGACAGGGTGAGGTTATGGACTGCTGAGGAATGCCTCACTGCGTAGAAAGCAAAATAAAAAGCTGTAGTCTGCCAGGTCATCTCCAACAACTCCAGTGGGAGCAAACRTCTGGAACCAAATCTTCCCCCAAGCTGTGCATTTTTTCCCTAAACCTTTGCTTTCCTTTGCTGGGCAGCATCCTCAAAGAGCAAAGTGACCGTCAGTCTTTTGGCAGTGTCTTCCCCACGCCGTTGAGCCTATCTGCTGCTCCTGGCTTTCTGGTGCCGTGGAGGCTTTTCCAGGGGCATCTCAGCCACTTTGGAGCCTTTCAGCTGAGAACAGCCTCCTTTTGCAAASCCTCCTTACTCATTTCCCTATGGTGAGTCGCGATTTCCGCTTCTGCAGGACCAAAGCCAGCCTCGAGCATCATCTTGCTTCAGAAGTCGCATCCAGCGTTGGGTTTAACTCAGAAAAAAGAAACTGCAAGTGGGAAATACCTGGTTATTCCCTCCCCAGTGCTAGCTCTGAAACGCTCAGTGTCCTGCTTAGCTGGGGGACCTGGACTGGTTGGATCCTCTGACTCTTTTTGTTGGTTCAAAGGGAGCGTTTCTTGGTTCCAGCTGCTTAATGAGCACTGAGGAGCAGATCCTCATGTCCTGACAAGAGGCACCACTGCTGCCAAGATCCCATTGCTTGGAAAAGCGAGTGCTCCAGGCATCAGATGGGCTCTGCAAGGAGCCCAGGGCGCCTCGAGCAGTCGGAGCCGCAGCCGGGCCGTGATTCCGCGGTGCTTGAATAGAAGGAAGAAGCAGCTGAATATCCGGAAACAGCTTTTAACAATGAGAACCGCGAGGATTCCCGGGGGACACGGCTAAATCCCGCTGAATAGCGAGGCGGGAGGCGCCGGCCCCGCGCCGCGTGCTGCAAACGGGC